GTACCGGGGTTTCACGTGGTGGACCTGTTTGTTTCCTGTATTGACAGGTACCGGGGTTCCACGTGGTGGACCTGTTTGTTTCCTGTATTGACAGGTACCGGGGTTCCACGTGGTGGACCTGTTTGTTTCCTGTATTGACAGGTACCGGGGTTCCACGTGGTGGACCTGTTTTGTTTTCTATATATTTCATTTCAACTTAAATTATTATAGTTCTATTGCAAATACTAATTCATATTTCAAAGTATAATAAAGCACATTTCAGTTGTGAGATGCATATCTGCTTATTTATTTTGACTAATTATTTGTACTTCTACACTTCAATAGGGTGCCTATCCTGCCAGACTGAAAAAAGTTCTTATTGTGTCAGCTCCTATGTGGTTCAGAGCACCATTTGGAATTCTTCGTCTCTTTGTCAGAGAAAAACTTAGAGACAGAGTGAGTAAATGTATTACCTTAAACTTTCCAAATCTGTCTGTTTATCTTTTCCTTCAGTCAGTCACCAGCCATAGGTGAGCTTTAACTTGGGACGAGTGTTATCTTCTGATTTCCACTTTTGCTAGAATCTGTTGATTGTGAATGGATTTAGATGGTAAGATATCTTGCAGTCACTGTAACAAAAAAAAAATGGAAAAATATTGAAAAACATTGAGTTGTATTGTTGTATTATTTTAAAAACACATTTTACTGTAAACATATAAGGTTGCTAGGTGTTCCTGAAGTGAGATAAGAGTTAAGCATGATAGATAAAAATGCTGCTCTTTCTTCCCAATGTGTGTGTGTGTGTGTGTGTGTATATATATAAAGTTCAAAAATGACTCTACACATGTCGTAAAGAAATGGGCATCATTTTGTGCACATTTCAGGAGCTTTTAGGAAGTTACATTCAAAATGTAATTAAAATACTTTCTTTGCATGATAAATAAATAAATAAGGCATAAAAATATAGCTAATAACCTGAATTTTAACATTATAAGTTTTAAGTTCTTAATCTTATAAGGCAATATTGAAAAAAAAACTCAATTTCCTGTAGTATGAGAATTGTGACATTTGCTTTCTAGGTATCCCCTCTTCTCTAATTTATTTACCACCCCTCCAAGACATGAAATTTAATATAAATTATTCATTATAGTGTTGTCCTTGCTCATGCGAAATATAATTTTTATAGCCTTCAATCTCATTTGGTTACAGAATCATAAAATAGAAAATCACGCCCCTCTTGTCACGCCCACCTGTCACATCCTCTCAGAAATTACCAGTAGTTCTCTCTTCTGTTTAGTAGTATATTATTTATAACCAATACAAAGCCAAAGTTTTAATCTATCAAATGAGGTATTACATTATGTTGTTTTCTGTAGAGAAAATTGTCTATTCCAATTCAAACTTTATTCCCACAGGAAACACATTGATGAGCTTAGCTGATTTTTTAACAGCTCTTGTCGCATAGGTAGAAAGCCAGAAAAATTGTTATAATTATGGGACATTGTCTGTTTTTTGTATGTTATTATTCTATGTTCTTTGATGCATTATTTAATCAAATTATTTAGTGCAGTAATACCATTAATATATAAAAGTAGGTTTAGGTGCCATCGACAGTCGACAACAGGTAAGCACTTTATTTTTTGTTTTTCATGTAGATTATTTATTTATTTTCACAAAAGTAACTAAAATGTGAATTTTTTTAGGTTAGATTAGGTAAGTTATAGAAGAATATAAGTTTTTTGTGAGGTACACTCGTGAACAGCTCACGAGTAGCCCATGCATTATGTAATTCAATACAGTAACGGGAGCTCTACGTTTGCCAACTGATTCACAAATTTTGTGGTGGAAATATTAATTCAGACATGGTTCAAAGGGCAATAAAACAGAATTTAAGTATAAACAAATATAGTTTCATGTTAAAATTTAAAGTTCTAGAAAGAAAAAAAGGAGTAATTTAGATTTATTTATTTCTTTTTTTTTCTGGTGGTTACGAAGTTGACAAACCTCGGATATAGAATTAATGTAGAGAAAATAACAAATAAAATTTTACTGAAAAATAACATTTTATAATTATTTAGAAGATCTTAGAGAATATGCAAATGAAATTTTCAGATGAATAAAAGTATTTTTAATCTTAACGTGAAAATCACTTTGCACTCGGACTACTAAACAAAACTCAATATACTTAATTAAAAAAGACTTGTGTGTACAAAAGTCTTGTAATATTTACTGAAAGTCTGTCAAACTTTGTGAAGATACATGCACTGTATTAAAAGTTATAGTATAGAGACTGTAACAAGTACAAAATGGTTATGAGCTTGATCGATTAAACTGAGCACCTGTGGAAAGAGTTAACAGAGATCAGAATTAAAATATAAGTTGAGTAATAAGAGTTGTGTGTGTGAACTATATGTATCTAGTTTCTACATCTTCACATTCTAGTCATCAAATTTAAATCATTATAATTTGGAAAAAGTCCTTAATAAAAATTCTAAAAACACTTGTTTTGGTTGAAGACAAAATTTAAAACGCAGTATATTAATGGTGACGGAGAAATGTTTGTGTGATTGTTTAAGTAACATTAAAACAACACAGTTTTTTAACAGGTACGAAATGTTTGTGTGATTGTTTAAGTAACGTTAAAACAACACTAGTTTTTTAACTAGGTAGAA